TATTAAATTAACAATTAAACAATTAAACTCTCACAAGTAACAAAAATTAATAACAATTAAATTTCCTTAACAATTAAACTAATTAAATTAACAATAAATAATAAATTAACTAAATTAACAATTAATAATAACAATAACACGAGTTGACAATGAAAATTAACATTAACATTAAATTAAGTAAACAATTGCAAAAAATTAAAAAAATTAATTTAGGGTTAGATGAGGGAGAAAATTTCACCAACATAAGGAGAGAGGGAGCTACATCGGTGGCGGGGCTTCGCTAATATTGTTACGGCCAAAAAATGGACGATTGAGGAAGGGGTAGAAGGGAGAAAGAAAGAGGAAAAGGAGGAAGAAAGGGTGAGAGATGAGGGGAGAAAGGGAAGGAGGAGAGAGAGGAGGAGATTGGAAGGAAAATAAAGAAGAGCGAGAAGATTTTAAGAAGAATAGAGCAAATCGGTGCCGGAGAAGAAGAGAAAGAGAAGAGGAAATTTTTGGGAAATTTTCGGGCGAGAATGCTATTTAGGGATTCAAAGATTTAGTGATGGTCTCAAAATCGTCGCTAATAGTCCTAAAAATTGAAATATAGTCTGTTTCCCCCACGATTTGAAAATTAGCGATGATTTTTAGACCGTCGCTAATTTAGTAATTTTTCAATGGTTATTTGCAAAAAAATCATGGCAAAAACGGTTGGGGAATTTTTTTTTTAAAAAATGAAATTATCGATGATTTTTTTGGGAAAAAACCGTCGCAAAAATGCTTGAACCAGAAAAAGATAAGGAAAATTAAAATTAAAACAGTTCAAAAACCCATAGCTAATTTCCATGATTTGCGATGGTTTTTTTAAAAAAACCGTCGCAAAAAACGATCAAAGGGAAAAAAATTATACATAGCGACGGTTTACGATACCCTTGCTAATTATTTGGTCAATTAGCGACTCGTTTATTGATAGCCGTTGCTAAAAACTAGATAGCTTCGGTGGCCCGACTTACGCCTCTATCGGGCTTCGCACCTCTCCCACCACGCTTTCCCAAGAGCCCACAGTCATTTAGGATCGATTTAGAGACGATTTTGAAGACCCTTGCTAAAGCGCTTTAAACCGTCGTAATTTTAGTAAATTAACAATGATTTTGAGACCATCGTTAATTTTTTCTCACAAATCCCTGTTTTTATTTTTTATTTTAGTGGATGCTTATTTTTGGATTTTAGTGACGGATCTTGTTTTTCTTTGGTAATAAGTAAAAAATGGTCCAATTTAAAATAACAATGACGAATACTTATTTTAAGCGACAAACTCCAATTTGTTGCTAAAAAAATCCCTAAATCTACAAAACCCTTCTTCCTCCATTTTTCCTCTCCATTCCTTAAAAACTAACTGTAGCACCTCCTCTATATCTCAACCACACCGCCAACCCCTCCACCAATCTCAGCCATGCAGCCAACACCCCCCAAATCCGACCACTAGCCCCTCCATTGATCCTAGCTCTAATAAGGGATGCTATATGAATTTTGCTTAAAACTCATTTTTAGGTAACTTAATATATTATAGCTTCATTGATTAGTATGCATTGATTTCTTACTAGCTTTAAAATTTTAGTATCATTTGATTCTACTCTATAGTTTTAATTATTGCTCAATATATAGATAAACATCTTTCTAGCCTATCATTCTAACTCAATATCTTAATTTTATTTCATTTTTTAATTTTTTTTTAAAAACCCTAAAAAGAAAGAGAATTTAAATTTAGAGTGATAGGCCCAAATTAAAAATTAGTTATTCAAATTTTGCAAAATAATAATAATAATAATAATAATAATAATAATAATTACTCTTGTTTCAAAAATTAATTAATTAGCTTCTTGATTAGTGTCGATCATGATTAATTTAATATTATTTTTTATTAATTATTTCATATTTTTTACTTTTTTAATTCTTTTTCTATTTAATACAACATAAAAAATGAAAAAAAAATAAGTTACCATAAATTTAAAAAATAAAAATTAATTAATTTGTTTTATCAAAAGATGGTTTCAAAAGAATACTCAAGGTTTTTATAATATATATATATATATATTCTGCTTCTTTTTTTTTTTTATCATAAAATGATCCACTAGTTCAATAGAAATTAGTTACAAAATTATCACTTTGTAACTGATTTATAATAATTGTACCCTCTCTTCAGTGCTCCATCTCAATTATCAATTTTTTTCTTTTTTCAGTTAATTTATAATATTTTTTTTTGAACAAATACTATTATTATATTTATGAACCATGATTTAGATGATTGTGAGACCTTTATTTTCTTATTTTTCAACTTCTTGGGATATGTTAGCTTTTGATCTAAATGACCCGCTAATTTGTTATCAAATTGCTATACTTTCTTAAAAGTCGTTATTTGGAATATTGTTGCAAGTATCCAGATTTCATTATTTCTCAAAGAAGAGACGATCCCATCACATCTGAGGAAAAAACAGATTCCACTACTTCTGAAGGAAAAGAAAAATGTTAATGATTCTCAAGAAAAAGGAGTTCCCATTAGAATGGCTATTGTATGCTTTTCTACACGGACTGAGGGAATGAATGCCTTAATTAAAATGCATCGAGGATGGTGGTCGATTTATAAAAATACGCATTGTTTTAGGCTTAATTTTTAATATTTTCATACACTATATGTATTTTTATATAATTTGATTTGATTTTATATTATTTTTATTTGAAAAAAATAATATTTCATGTTATAATTTCATTTTTAGTTGTTTACCACTACATTCAACATTAAAGTACCACTAATAACGAATTAAAAAATAAAAAATTATGTTTCTTGCATTAGTGATAGAATAACGATCGATTAGTGATGAAAAAAATAATTAAATTACATCAATAAGTGATGAAAAATATGAAAACTGTCAATAATTTTTATCACATTAGTAACGGAATAGCTACAAAATATTGCTAGTTGGTGATTTTTCGTCACATTAGTGACAAAAGAAAGTCTTTATAGCGACATGTCCGTCACTAATTTCATCACATTAGCAATGGACATACTTCATTATAGCAATAACTTTACCATCACCAAATTAATGACGGATGCTAACTTCTATCGCTAAAATGATTAGCGACAAATATTTTACCAACACATTTTTTTTTATCACCATTCCATTGCTAAAGAAAAATAAAAATGGAATATATAGGTTTAAGGATAGAAAAATCTATTGCTAAAGGCTTAATTCTTTGTAGTGTTGGAAGAGTATTTTGGTGGTTCTTCAAGTGTTAAGTGACTTGTTATTCTTTGTTGTTAGTATACGTGTTATTTGCTATTACTAGATGTAGATTTGGACTAAATATGTTTAGCTATTATTAATACAAGTTTACCCTAAATTAGAGAATATTTTTCAAATATTGGTAGCTCTGTGAGGTTCATTATTCCGCACAAAACAAATTAATGGGTCAAAAATAGATTGGTATGGAATTCTCCATTGAGAGCTCTTCTACAGAGGTAGTTGTTAACAAACAATACAAAAAGTTTGTGCTCTTGCTTCATTTTGACAAGAACAAGTTTGCTGGTGCGGAGGCAACTTTTAAGTCGATTGGTGAAGCACGTAGGGGTGCTTACGGATGAGGAACTTTTTGGGGAGTTTTTTATTTTTTTGTATGATTGAATCTTTTATTGTTTTGAAATGCTTGAAATTTTGAGCGTTTTGAATTAGAGTTTTTAGTGTTTTGATCTACATTTGGATGTTTGGAATTGAATTTGGATGTTTAATCACTGGATTTGAGTGTTTTTAATTGAATTTTCGGTGTTTTGCATTAGATTTTCAATATTGTGCTCTATTTCCTTTTCGGACTTGAAATGCTTCCAAAAGGCATTGTGGCCATTAAAAAAAAAAAAATCACAAACTTGTAATATTTTGGACTTTTTTACCCAAAATTTTGACACTGAATTATAATATAGGGTGTTTTTTAAAATAAATATTAAAATTTTATTGTGTAAAATGCAAGTTTTGAAAAATAGAAGTGCAAAGTGTTTTCACTAACTAACTACAAAGTATTTTTTGTAATTTAAACATTAAAGTATTATATAAATTATTCAAATATTTTTTAAAAAATAAAAATAAAAATCATCTCTCTTATTTTTATTTTTTAAGATTTGATTCATTCTTTAACTTTCTGTCATTTATTTTAAGAAAAAAAAATAACAATTACATAAATTATCCCATGATGAAAATCATTAAATGAGATTTATCTAGAGGTTCTCAATTTTTCTTTTTTTATCCTTTCAGATTATTTTTGTTTTTAATTTTCTGATTTTTTATATTTTTAATGTTCAATAAATAAATAAATATAATTTCTAACCTTAAAAAAATATGAATTTTTTCTCAAAAACAGATTGAATTTTTTCCAACACATGCGTAAAAACTGAAATCAAAAGACCAAATTTTTAAAAGGGAGGGGCAATACTTAAAAATCATAAGATGAAGTAAATCTCACAAAAAAAAAAAAAGGTTTGGAAAGGTCAAAATATAAATTAAAAATTCAGATATTGATTTTTAAATTAACAAAATTTTAGATTTGGCCCTTTTAGCCTTTTTTTTTTTTTTTTAATGGAAAACCTACAATTTGAATGGAATACATGAACTCAATTGAGAATTTATTTATGGAAGATTGGGTATCGAATTGAGATGAAACAAAGTTTAGAGATTCAATAGAGACTGCATATACAGTTGTGGGCTTTTTCTACGCAAGAACCACCCAAAGTATGCAATTTAGCAGTACCTTTCACCTTTATATATAAGTCTATCTGATCTCATCATTTCATTAACAAATTCTTAAACAAAAAACTCCTCTCTCCTACCTGTACCATTACCCTGTTTCTTCTTCCTCAATCAAGAACTCTCTCTTTATCATGATACCATCATGAACCTTCACTCTCTTTGATCAAGAAGTCTCTTTCTTGATCTAGAATTGTCTCTCTCTTCCTAATTCTCTAAACTCCAGCTTTAATGATCATGGAAAAGTTTGACCTTCGCTGTGATTACAACTGTTCGAATCAAAATGATGGCTATGATGTTTTTGATGTGCAATGTGACGACATGCACTGTAACACAATCATTACTGGCAATCCTCCATGCCTTTTGAAATGGATTCGTGACTTGCTTCAGACTAACCTACGAGATGATAATAGAAGACTTAGGGTCTCTATGGACATGATTTGGCACCAATTCTTAAACGATACCAACATCAGAACTCCTGTTACCATTCAGTTCTGTCATGAGAGTCGTTGCATCATCTACCATGTTTCTCCTCCGGAAAACTTTCCAAGATCTAATCTGGAACGCTTCTTGAATCACGATTGTGTAGATTTTGTTGGTTTTGGAATGCAGAAAAAAGTCCAATATCTTGGTAAGGTATTCAATCTTAAAGTGAAAAACTGGTTTGATATCCCATTTGTGGCCTGTTGTTTGAATCCAGAATTAAGCTTTCGTGAGAATTTCAATTTGCCTCTACCAAATATGGTATTCAAGGAGTTCTCGAAGTGTTATCCAAAGCCTACTTACCTTCTTCAAAGCAACTGGAGGTTGATTCAACTTTCTTCTGAAAAAGTAATGTATGCGACACTAGATTGCTATTTTGCCTACAAATTGGCAGTTCACCTCTCCATTCCTCGAAAGATCGAATTAGAAGTATTGATTCTTTCATAATTTTTATCAATAATCAAGATTCAAAAATCATGCATGATAAGTTGTTTAAAGATTAGTTCTTGTGTGTGTGTGTGTGTGTGTGTGTGGGGGGGGGGGGGGGGGGGGGGGTGGGGTGTGGTGTGGGTTGTTGGGGGTTGGAGGGAGGGATTGTAACATTTTTTTATGTTTTCTCTGCACCTGCAGGAGGTCAAAATAACCGAGGACAGTTGATTCTGCTGGTTAGTAGTTGATGTTTGTGGCCTCTGGAGTTCTTAAATTTGTGGTGGTGTGTGAGTGTTTTGTTACGGCTTTAATGACTCAGTAGTTTTGTTTTGGTCTATAGCCTTTGATCATGGCTAGTTATGGCTCTTCTGTTCCGTTTAGTAGCTGCTTTAGGGGCTTCCTTTGGACCAATTTTCCGTGGTTTAATAGTTTTGGGTTTCTGGGTGTTTTTTAAAGAGGATGTAGTTGGATCCTGAGTTGATTTTGGTCTTTGTAATCTAGCCTGCTGATCTGTTGTATGCCCAACTTTCAAGAATGGAATGAACTCTCAATGAAATCTTAATGAAAAGAAGTGATTTGCATAGTGAAGCTCTGATCTTTTTGTTCTTTATTGTTTTGACAAAATCTCCGTGAAAAGCTAGCTTGCCCTCTTTAGCAAGATTACAGGTTTGTGTATTTGTTACAACTATCATCGTTGGTTCTGGTTGCTTGCAGAAAAGAAAGTGATAAATAATGGCTCTAAAATACTTACAGGAACTGAATCTGCTGATTTTGCTCTGCTTTTTTACCCCTTAAAATTGGTTCAATTAAGAGAGATAACAATAGATGAAAGAATAACTTTTATAGAAGAAATTGAATCATCAACCCAATTCTTATTACTGATGTGGTTGATTCCTGTGTTAAAGATGTCCAGATTATGATCATCGTATACTATGGTCAGCAAATTCAAAAAATTATTGGGTTAAAGGTTTAGGATATTCTTTTATTGTTTTAAATATTTTAATCGTATCCCTCTATTAAAATTTTTAACTATCGAGTCCCTCTATTCTTAATTGTATCTCGTATTTGGTCCGTCCGATTAGTTTTTTAGGCAACAGAGACAACTTCCAACTTAAGAGTGATAGGATGATGACATGTGGCATTAATTTTTTTCCCTCTCAATTTGTAATGCTAGTAAAGATTTAAGTCAAATGAAAAAACAAAAACCCCAAATTGCCTCCACTTAAAAAACCCTAACATATATTCCCTAGGATTGAATTTTCCCTAAATCCCTAAATCTAACTTAACTTTCTAGTGCCTAAAATCAGTTGAAGAATTATCTATAATTTATCAAAGAAACAGAACCAAAATCCTCAAATCTTTCTCCAATTCCGTTCTCTCATACCTAAACATTGCTCTCTTCAATTATGGCTCATCAATTGAAGCATCTCTTCTTCAATTATGGCTAATCGATCAAAACACTCGTCACTTTACTTTTCTTTTTCTCGCATTCTTTAACACTCAAAATGTAGTCCCTCTATTTTCGGGTTTGATTCGTTCCTCTAGTTACAATTATGTTAATAATTTGTTTTATTTTAATTTTTTTAATTTTTTTTATTTGTTTATGTGAATACAATTAACAATTTTTTTTTTAAATGCCACAAGAAAATGGATTCTCCAAGTTCGTCCAATGAGTCAAGAACTGGAATAACAATTCCAATCTATGTTACAATGCCTAAAAAACCGGAGTATGATTATGAAGGGGTCGTTTATTCTACAAGTGTGGAGAACGATTTCCAAGATGGATATCATGGAGTGATCTTCACCCTACTGTGAAGTTTTTATATTGTTTAGTTCATACTATAAGTAATTAGAGAAAGTATGTGAAGGATCATGGATCTTATGGAGGTGTAAAATAAATAAAATTAATCATACATGTATGAATTTAAGGGAATGAATGAAGAATTACCTCTTGTAATGCGGATCTAAATTCTTTTATCGGAAAAGTCGTTTAAGTGTACGACCTCCATTGATGATCCACATAGTCCAAGTACCCATAAAGAAACATTTAAAATCAATAGGTTGCTATCTTTACCTTTATTGATTTATGTAGTGTTTCCTATAGAAATCTATTTTGGGCAATTTTTACGACAACCTTAAAAGAGAAGGAAAGAGTATGACGTGCTAGGGTTTTTGGGGAAACTCGTTTTCTCCTTTTCTTTTCTCGCTCTTTGCCATGTGCCTTAGTGGTTTTTTAGGGCTGGCCGAATTTCTCTTTTCCTCCCTTTTTCTTTTGTTTTTCTTGTGTTGCCACACCTCTGTCTCCCACATATTTATAGGAGAGTTTCCTTGTCCTCCAAGGACAAGGAGAGGGCGGTATTGAGTCTCTTTAAGGACTCTAGATTGTTACTTCCTTATCCTCCAAGGATGAGGAATTATTTTACATGGGGACTTTTGATCATTATCTTTAAAACATTCATCCTTATCCAATAAGGTTGATGTTTATCCTCCTACCAAAATATCTTAATGCTTTTAATTAAACCTAATAAGCCAAAACCAGTTTAGCACAATTAATTCATTTGAATTATCCAAATAAATATTCTTGGATTATTTTAGTCGGGTCCACATTAGGAAATAATTTTTCGAATACCTTCGACCTAAACTAGGAAAATAATTTTCGTTTTAGGTTATTTATTTTCAAATTTGGAAATATCTTCCAAATTAGGAAACTAATTTCTAAAATAGAAAACTTTCCATTTTAAGAAACTTCCTAATTAAGGAAACTTTCCAATTTAGGAAACTTCTAATTTAAGGAAACTTTCCACTTTGGAAACCCTTTCGATAATAGAAAACTTTCAAAGTTGGAAACTTTTTTCAATATCTTTGCTTCTTATTCATCATGTGAATACTTGAACTTATGCATGTGACTCAATAGGCTCATAGATATGTTGGCAATGTATCGAGAACAAAAGACTTCTCTTTTATCTTTTGATACATAAATCAAGATTGGCCTCTAGCAAGACATCATGATTACCTAATTCTCTAGGAGGATTAATTAATCCATTATTACCTTTCATGAGCATGGTTATCATACAATTCGGTCTCATGTCAACTTATCACGAGTGTGATCTCAAACATAGTTATAAATCTTATTCGATTATGATCACACAAGTTTTCTTCAATTTTCAAATATCTTAGCTTTTAAAGTAAACCAACTATACTTTATTGGTGTACTCCTACTATGGCTATAGATTTTTTGAGCGAGATATTTATCGAATTGTAATGTGATAACTCTTTTAGCATATAAAGAATGACATATCCTATCTTAGTCATACACCTACCTCCATTAGATTCCTAGTGCATCTAATGAATCACTCACGTGCAACCCTTTAATAGGTTCATCGAAATGAGTGTCAAAGTTCATAAGTTCTCTAATGAGAAAATCGTGATGACTTGAAGTCTAAAGACTATTTATACCCATCTCTTATGAGATTCCTATAGACTAAAACCAAGTGGGTTCTTATGGTGAGTCATGTCCGAGTGATCTATTCTTTAACATAAATCACCTAAGTATTTACGTTGGTATCAACATGCCAATATGTGTGAGATCTTATACTTGCTATCATATAGCATAACAATAGCACTTACACGTCTATCCACATATAATCAATATCCATTTTTGACAATGCTACGACTTGGAACATTTAATGATATCATTTATATACATTAGCGTTTATCTCACATTTTTCAATCAATCACTATTGCAAATGCATATCATAAGGACTTCTATCTAATTCTACTGAATTTGCAAGCATAAAATATAAGAATTAATAGAATGACTTCTTTATTATTACTAAAATAAATAATTCAATGATACATTAACTCAAGCCCATCCAAATATGGTTAGATCTTGAGCACCTATACTAACGGAATGTTAGATGTGATTTCGATAAATGGCGTAAACCATTTATAGTAGGTAGAGCAAAGGATGTGATTTTAGGTATGAGACAAAGATAAAAAAAATAAAAAAATTGTTCGCTAAAAATAAATAGTTGATAAGAAAGAATCAAAGATTTGATAGTGAAATTGTAGAATTAAAAGCTGATAATCGAGAATTAAGGATTAATTGGTATTCGAGAAGGAACAACTAGTTATGGAAATTTTAATACTTAAAGCTAAAAAGAACTATGTGTTGGAAGAGACGGATATTTCAAATAAAAAAAATGAAAGAATACGAGAGATGCATATGATAAAGTTTTGTTTAGATACCAATTAGGAATTATGTTATTCCTAATGTTTATTAAGATGTTGTTGATTTTTGATTAGCTAGGACGATAGGAATGTAATGTTAGAGGTATCAATTACAAATGTAATTCCTTGTACGACTTAGCTTTGATCGTTATAATTGCAACCTAATTTTGATTAAATGGTGAATTTATTACGGATGTAATTCCTTGTCCAGATATTTGTATAAAATTGTCCAAGATTTATTTGTTGATATTGTTGCCAAAGTTAAGTGTTCATTCTTGTTTTAGTTATGTTTACTAGTAGAAACTTGCCCACAAACTTGTGTTTGCCGACATAAATTTGAGCGTAAATTTGATCAAAAACTTATCCGGAACTTGTGTTTGCTAGCAAAAATTCAAGTAGAAAGTTGTCCAACTTTTGATTGAAGGTGGAAATCATTCCAAAATATCGGATTAAAAAGCTGGATTCAACAACTTATACCTAACACAAACCTCGATGAAACTTGTCCAAAAGATTCAACAACTTAATTAAAAACATTGGATTAAAAATAGTAGGTTTAACAACTTTTGTTCCATAACATCATCTTTATGTTTAACATAAATAAATAAATAAATAAAAATAACACTTATAATTTCGTTCATGTCTATAAAATAGCATAAATCATTCCAAAATCCAATGTAAACAACAAAAGAAGAAAAATAAAATTAAACATCTTCAACTCTATATTCTGCAGATTTTGAAGACCCCATGTCAAACATAATCTTCATCTCATAATGATTTCCATACAAACC